CAGGGGTCGGCCCCTTACACAGGGGGTTGAGGGTTTAGGGTTTAAGGGTTTAGGGTTTAAGGGTTTAGGGTTTAAGGGTTTAGGGTTTAAGGGTTTAGGGTTTAAGGGTTTAGGGGTTTAGGTTTTTTGGGGTTTGTGGTTTAGGGTTTAGGTTTTTTGGGGTTTGGGGTTTAGGGTTTAGGTTTTTTGGGGTTTAGGGGTTTAGGGGTTTGGGTTTTGGGGGTTTTGGGGTTTGGGGGTTGGGGTTTAGGGGTTTGAGGTTTAGGGTTGAGGGTATAGGGTTTAGGGTCTGGGCCGCGAGGGTAGCAAGACTTCGGAGTACGACTTAGGGTGTCTGTGAACCCTGGAAAAACATAAGCTTGCCGGTTTCCTGATAAGATTCCTTATGTAGTAGCTTGAAAAGACGGTTTTGGTGGCTTCGGGTGTAGGGTTCAGGGGTCCACAGGGGTACGGTGCAGGGTGGAGGGTGAAAACTCTAAAGTTTAGGGCCGTTTAGGGGTCTCAAGAGTTTAGACGAATGGTTTAAGGCCAGGAGTGACGGTTAGATCTACTTCTAGGACGGCTGGGCGTAGTGCTGTTGTCGGGCAAGTATTACCGATCCTTGTGCCTAAAACCCTAAACCCTAAACCCCTAAACCCTAAACCCTAAACCCTAAACCCAACCCGAAAAGCCCTAAAGACAGCTTTCCGGGCGGCTCGCATGCAGCCGGGTAGGACCTCGTGTGGGTGGCCCGAGGATGGTACGGTTCGCCACGACCACGCTGACGAACGTGTCTCTAGGCGGCATGCTAGAACTACCCATAGGCCCCATAATAGTTCCTTTTTGGGGGTTCATGTTTAGCATCCTATAAGGTAATCCCAAAAAGGAACTACTATGGGGCCTATGGGTACAGAAGTCTGCTGCTCCGCCGCATTCTCTGGGCCCGCAACCCCAAAAGCTTGCTTGCTTCCTTGCTAGGCAGGGGTAGAGCGGATGTTGGCATTTCTTAGAACTCAGTTGTGGTACGAACATATCTGTAGTCTCCATTGAACTTCCTTTTTGGGGATACCTTATAA